ATGTATGGTCCCTGTACAAGGTAAGGGGGTGTGAGCCAAGGGGCCCTGGGGCTCGAGACTTGAGGAAGAAAGGAGAGCCCCAATTCTCTCGTATCTGGGGGACATAAAGGAAATTGGCCCGTGGGGGGAGGGGCAGCGTGCCTTTTGTTGCTCTCGGTTGGATGGGCCTGAATACGGTGACTGCAAGGAGCAGGGGACACCAGTGGTGCCGGGACCGGTTACCTCCTCTGAAGTGGGGGCCTGAGGAGGAGGAGAGGGTGAGGAGAGGATGGACTGAGAGGGTCACAGGAGAGGACAGTGGGAGAGGTCAGGGCCTGGCTGTGTCCACCAGAGCGTTTGTGTGTGTTTCCCACTGGCCCTTTGGCCCCCTGGCTCAGCCGTCTCCTCATTGCAGAGCCCCGTGACCTCCGAGGACCTGGCCGTGTTCTTCTCCCGGGAGGAGTGGGGGCTCCTGGACGAGGCTCGCAGGCGCCTGTACCGCGACGTGAGGCTGGAGATCTTCGAGCTCATGGCCTCACTTGGTAAGACCCTCCTTCCCGGCCGCGCCATGGCGACCAGCGTCCGCCCTGTGCCTTTCCCCGTAGAAAGCTCTGTTTGTCCCAAAGTCCAGCCATGGATGCTGCTTCCTGCCCAGGTTTCATGTTGCAGGAGCTGGGACCGGGCTGTGTGCACGCCTCTGTCTCATAATGGGCAGCCTCATGAGTGGTCCTCATAGCTATGGCTGGGGCGCCCCAGATCCTGTGGGAGCAGAGGTTGGGGATCAGGCATCTCCAGGCTGCTCACTGGACCCCACTGAGCCTGACCCGGTGTGGGGCCGTGCCCTGGTTCTGTCCGTCTTCCATAAGACGATTTTTCAAAACAGCTTTATTAAGAGACACCATAAGTTCACCCATTTAAAGGATATATTTACACAGGTGTCTGACGATCACAATCCAATTTTAGAATATTTTCATCACCTACAGGGAGACTTTGTACCCATTAGCAGTCATGCCCTATCCTCCCTCATCCCTTTTCCCCAAGTCCTGGGAAACCTCTAATCTACGCCCCCCCAGAGCTGCAGGGACTTGGTTTCAACCCGGGTCCCTGTGAGAGGCCACAGGTGGAGCTGCAGCCTGTGTGTGGACCATGAAGGTGGGGGTGGGGGTCCCCTTGGCAGCCAGGGATGCACCGCCTCCACCCCCATCTCAGCACTCCCACTCCCGGGGTCCAGGCATAACCCGGGACAAGGGGCGCCACCATGCGGCCTTCCCCCGGTTCTGACCGCCATGCCTCGGCCCCACCGAAGTGCCCGCCTCCTCTCCGTTCTGCAGAGCGGCCTCTGGGATGGAGGCGGCGCAGTGCCAATCCCATCACCACTGAGGCTGGAACCGGAGCGCACGCACAGGCTGCCCCAGGGGGGCCCGGGAG